TCATTTTCCTGCCACGCACAGCTTTTTCATCACAGGGACGAGAACATTTGTATATACAGTACAGTAACGTTTTTGTAAAGCTAAGTGTATGTATTTTTTTATTTTACTTGTTCGCCCTTTGACAGAACAAAAAAAAAGGAACGAGAAAAAGTGACGCAGGGCTTTTTTTATTTTCGCCATGAACAGCATAGAATGAGTTATCGGAGCGGAGGAAAACTTCTGATGGCGTGGCGAACAGCGATTTGCAACGCTGCTGCCACGCCCGACGTGAGCGCTTTATTTGCCGTGAGGAAGCAAGACAGTTTTTCCTTCTCTGTGTATATCTATTTTATTTTTATTTTTTTTAAAGAATACTGTATATATTTTGGTTGGGAAGAAAGGGTTGTGATTTCGTGTTGTTCTTTGGGAGAACTGCGCAATTTTGATGTAGGTTGTGAATAGAGGCAGTTGATCTTTGAGTCGGTGGTTACTTCCCCCCGGTGAACGAACGACGTTTCTGATGTGAAAACCTGCAAAAATATCGGTTTTGGTTGCCTTTATACGAATTTGATGGAGCATGACGGTTTCGGGTTTTTATCGTCTCAAGATTACGACCTTTATTGGATGAAACGGAGCCATAAGTGAGGCCAGTTTCAGTGAAGGACGAATGAGTTGAATGCCCTGTTAGCTTTTTTTTTTTTTTATGTGCGCAATTGAGTTGGAATTTTATTTCAAGTTTGTAGATTTCTTGGGCGTGGGAATAATTTTTTTAGAAAGGGATTTCAGAATTGAGAAGAACTCAAGTGATGGCTAATTCCAGGCTCACTGAAAATACTTTTTTTCAGACGAAGTGTTCGCCGAGAATTAAATTCCAGACGTTTCCGAATGCCACGAAAATCGATTTAAAAAAAAAAGTAAGCTCGGGTTGTTGAAAAGCCGTCAATCACTGTTTTGTGTCATTTTCGAATGATTTAGCACAGTGTTTCCGAGCCTGTGGTCCGCGGAGGTTTTTTGCCGGTCCGGAGGAAATTTCAAAAGTAGCAATGAAGTCTGTTATCTTCATCCGAAATGTCATAAAGATAATGTCAGTTGGAATTATCTGATGAAAAAGAAAAGTCGGCTCTTTCCTATTGACACTTCCGACAAGTGTTCACACCCTGAAATAAATTACAGTATTTAGATTTTTTTTTTCATTCTGAGGAACTTCTTCTTTAAGCCCACCCTCATAATTTAGTGATGAGATTCCAATGCCTGACTGTTTCTCACTTTTTCAAATGAGCAGACATTTTTTAAATGCTTGCCGTGGAGTCTTTCAAGCAAAATATTTTTTAGTCTGGAAAAATATCGTGAAACTTTGCTGTTCTGCGGAAAAATGTCGGGAAATTTGCCAGTCCGCGGGTCAAAAAGGTTGAGGAACACTAATTTAGCAGAATGCATCAATGCTATTAGATATTTTCTGATTATGCCGTTGAAGAAAGATTAAATGAGAAAGAAAAAAATCAAGGTACCGCAATAGTTATAAATTTTCATGAATGGTGTCCGTCGAAATTCAGTGCCTTAAAATTTCATCTTTCGAATGTCTTGTGGATTGTTCGGAACATTTTTTTTTCGTGGGTTATTACATGTTTGAGGTCTATAAAACTTATATTTAAACTCTCCAGATACATTCAAATTTTTGAAGCGTCTGGCCTTTGTGTTTGATAGGTACTCGTTCTTAAATTGAAGAATTATGTGCGGATTTCCATGCCCAGCAAGCAAGTGAAAGTTTTGGTTATACTGTCGGAAGGATTATTTTTTTTTTCTTCTTTGCCTCCCGAGAAGGAAAAGTTCCGTTGCTTCAAATCTGAGGTTCATTTTGAATCCGGAGTTTACGACATCTCATGCGAAATCTCAAACCATTTCCTCCTCAATTTAACAAGGGAAGTCATGAGACAAAAATCGTCCGAAATTCTGCCGCAATGAGGCAATCTTCGTGCTTTTGACGGGAATCGAAAACCGATTCCAGGGTTTAGCGTTCTACGAAACGTTTGCTTTCGGAATGAGGCAGAGAGAAGAAGAAAAAAAAAAAGAATGTCATAGCCTGGAAATTTCAGTCCGATTATCGGTAGTTTGGAACAGCGTCGTGAGCATCTGTGTGATTTTGCGGAACAAATTGATGGGCTCTCAGTGGGGTTCCGAAATGGATCACGTGAGTGCGTCGATTTTCGATTCTGGCTTCGGAATTATGCCCATGTTCATGTTGGATCAGGAAAGAAATTTCCCAGATTTTTCAACGTATTCCCTGACATATATATATTTTTTTTTCTAGCTCCCATTTGTGAATTTTCTCCTGGTTTTTCATGTGTATTCTACTGATCCGAAGCAATTACAGTAAAAGTTTCTGATTCTGTATGAATTTTGAACACATTTTCCACCCTGGGTTCAGTACTGTTGTGATGAACGCAATTCAGACGTTTGTAATTTTAAAAACGGACAGAATAAAAATGTGAATGCGAAAACAAAGTTCGGTGTGTGGTTTTTTTTTTTCAAAAGTCGCGGTAATTAAAACGAAGCGAAAGCCACTAAATGAGACGCGTAATTGTAAAAATAATTTCAGCGAACTTTGAGTTTTTAATGGCATTGATTCAGAAATTTATCTACTTTTCCCTGGCTTACCTTAGATGCATGCATGATGAAATGAAGGGAAAAATCTTTAAATTTTTTCTAAAGCTGACGTTTTTATCTCGTGTCTGTTAACGTGCGAACCGGTTGCTTGCACGTGTGGATCATGGCACGAGTTTGCGAAATCTTGTGCACGGGCGAAAAACTATTTTCTCGAGTTTGCAAAGCGCGAAACTCCTCCGTTTCTGCAATTTTCTGCGGATATTTTTATTTTCATTGTTGAATGAAGTAAGGTATCCGTATTTTTGATTTTTTTTTCATTGGCGCAGAGCGTTATTCGATTAAAAGTTGTGAAAAAAAAATTAGCAGTGGAAGCAAAAGTTTCTTTGATTAAATTCTCGTGAAATCGTTCGATATTCATTTTACGTGCGAGTGATACTTTAAGACAAAACATTTTTGCTCAATCTCAAATCTTGCCTCCTGACGGAAAAAATCGAAAATCCCGGCGCTTTCTATTTTTTTTTAGCGTGTTGGGGGGTGGGGGGCTTTTCTTTCTTTTTATTTATTTGAAGAGCATAAAAATATTCTTCGGTAAACACAAGATTGTGCATGGGCAGATTTTTTTTTTCATTTTCGTGCATTGAAATTTTTCGTTTATCACGACGAATAAATTAATTTTCCTTGGGGATATCCTGAGTTTGCAGGAATATTAAAAACCGTAACTTGGTTTTTTCGAAAAATTTTAGGTACAGTACGTATTCAGACTCACATTTATGTGCAATATAAAGCATGAAGGGTGATTTTTTAGGCATTCAAGTGCTGTTTCCGGCATGATGCATTTTTAAAGAGCAATTTTTTGCTCTTATTTCTGAACCTGTTGGTTTTCTGAATTTTGAATGTTCAGAATATTTTTTTCTCCCAAAATCGACTCTTGAACTTTTCAGCATATGTTGAAACAAAGGATTGACTTTTCAGTTTGTAATAAATCCAGATTACGAATGATGCAGATTGTTTCTTCGAAACAATTCGTGATGCATTCAAGAGCGATATTGCACATACTATTTTTTCATGTTTTCAGTTTTTTTTTGCGAAATTTAAATGGAAACAGAGACTAAACAAGTACATTTTTCTGGGGTACGCGATTTTTTCTTTTGGGTTTCAAATTTTCAAATTCAAGTACATATCACTCGAGTTTATGTTCCTATGGGACAAAAAGTTTGTCTATGTGTCTGATGGCTTTTTCAAGATTTCTCTTGGTTTGATTGATAAAATTATGCCTACTTTTTATTTTGCGAGAATTTTGAGTGTTTGATCGAAACACTTGGTACTCCAGCAGTAAATCCGAAGGCAGTGCTCGTGGCCATTTTTTCCAATTGTGTGAACATTTTGCATTCACGGCATCTTCCAAATTTTTGCCATCAAGCAATATCCGAACGTTCCTGGACGTCTATTTTCACATTTTTCGTGGGATTCCTTTTTGCGTGCCACGAAACTGCGTTTAAAATTTTTTCCCTTCCATGTTGCGACGAAAATTCCACTTTTCCATGTTGAAATCCTGGTCTAGTACTTTTTGTGGATTTGAAGTGTTTTTCACGTGCAAGTGCGGTGTTGATGACCTGTTTCGATGTGTCCACGACAAGTTTTTTTTTTTTTTGGATACGCGAAACTTTTTTTTCAGAAAGGTTTACAAGTTCCGGTTTCCATGCTGCAATGGCAATTCTACAGTGAGACCCCAAGATGCGGACATAATTGGTGCATCAAGAGTGTCCTTAAGTCAAAATGTCCCTGAGTAAAGTCTCATTTTCCCTTAGACTTACATTATGTAATTTTTAATTGGTGTTTTATGTTCAAAATACTCACCATAATTTCATGAAAATAAAAATTGTCTCCCAATTTAAACTGATTCCAATCAATATATTTGAACACAATATGGACATTTGAGGAATTGAATACTGATACCTCTGTGCAGTATTGTACATAGAAATGTTGGCATTCTCAGTAAAAATAACATTCAAGTGAAAATTAGCAGAGAAGGCAGTCTCTCTATGCTGGAGGTAATTTTTTTAAATTAGCTAAATGGATGGTAAATTGGTGACAGAAATTATCAAGAACTGGTTTTACATCAATTTTAGAGTTCGAAATATCTGTTTCTTGCAATTTGGTCTAAAATGTTTTCGCAATTTCATCACAAAAGTTCCCTATGGCGAGCCAGTGTCCTCAAGTCGGGCCTTTTTATTAAAATTTTATGAGAAAATTTAGTGTCCCTATGTTGAATTGTCCGCAGGTCGAGGTGTCCGCATGTGGGGGTCTCACTGTGCTTATCGATTTTTGAATTCTGAATAAGCATTCGTTGTTACATGCGAATGCTGTGTACAGCATCGAAGTGCTCATTGTGATTCGTTCATGTTGTTGCGCAATTCAGATAGAAAGAGAAGTGAGCATAGAAGTGAGAAAAATCGCGCGGAACAAGAACGACAACAGCGGAAAGAAAAATGTTGTCGGAACGAAGATGGTCCGAAGGTTCCGCGTTGCGTTTCCTAAAGGCCAAAGCGAACCAATTGTCGCTGTCGGCGCCGTCGAGTCCGTCTCCGTCGACATCCTCGCTGTCGTGGTCGACGTCCATGTGCTCCTCGTCCGAGTTGCTGGACGGTCAGTCGGTGGAAGACGTGAGCAGCGGAAGTAGCAGCGAACCCGGAACCGAGGATGTGCCCGGATTTCCGCCCGGTGAAATCCGCCAACACGCCACCGACGGCTTCATGAAGCGCTTTTGGCGCCGGAAGAAGAGTCTCACCATCAACGAATACGATCCTTCGTTCAAAGTCATCTACTTGGGGAATGTGCTCACTGGCTGGGCGAAAGGTTGGTTCCTTTGTTTTTTGTCTGAAATTGATTTAAAAATTTTACGTGTAAAATCCCCATTATTACAACGAACTCCTGAAGACCGAAACAAAAAAATACAACATTGCATCAAGATTCCCGTCAAGAATACGTACTGTACTGTATTTAAGTTTTGGGGGATGAAGTGGATGTTCATTGTATTCCTTCAAGCCCAATCACAGTATTTATTTTCTACGTTAAATCATAACAAATCATCAAAGCGGAATTAGCGGTATTTATTCTCTTCGTAAAATTGAGGCATTCTTAATAAAAAATTCAAGTTTTGCCGCAGAATAAAGAAAATCAACACAACGGAAGTAACGAATGTTTTTCCCCGTGAACAAACAATTTTCTTCTATTAGCTGTGTCAGATACTTTAATGGGTTAGATCCGTGATTTCCTTCTGAGTTACTTTTTTTCATTCAACCTTTTTCCTCGATGGCACCAGGATCAAAATTCAGGAATTCTAATACTGTACTGTAATTCTGATGGAAGATGAAACCCATCCAAAAAAAAGTAATTTCTTGTGCTGAATTTGGACAAGACAAATTTGTTGATAATTCTATTTTTAGCACGAATTCTGTTACAGTATTTCGGAAAAAGGTGTTACTGCTCTGCATCAGATTTATTTCCAGTTTGCACCAAATGTTCTCGTTTTATGATTCAGGACTACTAAGAGATTCTTCTTAATATATGGCTTATGAAAGAAAAGAAAACCAACAACACAAATATGAAATACGATATTGAAAAATGGTTATTCCCATGAAATTTACACTCGTAATGAGTTTGATTGAGAGCGGGCATTGGTTTGAATTATTCTGGAATGTGAAGGGAATGAATGTTGAATTCATGAAGTGAATCCATCAGATACTGGTTGAAGTCTGCTATTAGATTAGTAAATTAATTTTCCCTGTTCCGAGAAATCGGGAATTTCTTGGAATAATTTTAAAAAGTGGGGTATGTTTCAAAATTCGGTAAATTAAATTAATTATGCCGTGATCAAATTAGATGGAAAGTGAGCATTTCAGTCATTTTTCATCTGAAATAGCTCATTGAGCTGACAATTATAACTGATCAACGAGAAACATTTTGCATTTCTTTTCGTTAGAAAGCATTAAAAATATACCCGGTTTTTCGTGCCTTTCAATCAAAATGGGAAATTTGACATTTTTTATTTTTGTGATGAACAAAAAGTAATGTGATTGAAAATAATTCTTTTATCTGCCAAAAAATTAATTTATGGAAGCTCTGAGTTATTGAAGTCGTGCAATTCACAGAGCTCATCTGAAACCTTGAAATACTCAATTGAATGTTACAATTGAAATACTCAATTGATTTGGCGCAGAAAGGCATAATTCAAAGATTTAATACATCTGAATGAATAAATGAACAGAACACTTTATTTGCCGCTTTTCAGCATTCACACGGTTCAATCAAGATTTCCACAACCAAACCCCCTTTCCACCCAACCCAAATCCATTCAAACGCATTCAATCACTTCAGAATTGGAAACAGCGAGAAAAAAAGCTGTATANGGCAAGAAAACAAAAAGTGATCATACCAAAAGTACATGAGCATGCGGGTTTCCTGGGTTCTTTTTTTTTCTGCACACATGGCATCTCATTCCCTGACATTGGTAAAAAAATTATATGTAAAAATTAATTAAAAGCACAAGGTCTTCAGCTTGTTTCTGCATGAGGTTTAGTTGGAGGAACAAATTACAGAGAATCTTTGATGAGAAATCATATAAAGCCAGCAGTTTATTTTGATCATTTAAGATTTCAGAAAGGGTCTCTTCATTGAATTCCAGTACTTGTAAATCTATCTTAAGCTTGTTTCTATCAGTATGAAATGCTGGGCATAAGAAGAGAAGACATCTGTTCAGCCCTATAAGAAAGCCAGGATTGAGTCGAAATTCAACGTGATGCCAATTTTTAATATACTGTATTCGGGTTTTTAGTCTTGTCCCTTTTTCCGCGTCGCTCATCATCTCGAAATGGTTTCGATACTATATAGGCGAGGGTTGCGTGGATCGTCCGTTGGCAACTTTGTGGAAAAACTACAAGGCGCAGAACGGGAAACAAGAGATTCAAATGAAGATGACAGTCTCCAACAGTGGGCTGAAGGCGTTTACGAAAGAACACGGATTGACCGAGTACTGGAGCAACCGCGTGACTTTCTGCAACACGCATCCCCGATTCCCAAAAGTAGGGCGAGAACTCGTTTAAAAAAAAAATTGATTTAGCATTTCGCTTGAACAAGTTCTGTCTGTGACTGATTGTCTCTTTTTTTTTGTTCCTCTTCTTAAAAAATAAAATGAAACAGGTTTTCTGTTGGGTGTACCGTCACGAAGGCAGACGCCTGAAGCAGGAACTGCGGTGCCACGCTGTGTTGTGTCCCAGTGAGGCCAAGGCTGGGAAACTGGCCCAGGCTTTGCAGGACAGACTCCAGTTTGCCCTCCAGGTGCGTGTGTGCTATTTTCTTCTTCTTCGTCTTCTTGAATTATTTCTCTTTATTTCTTCTTTTTTTCCCTCCCCATTTTTCATCACGTATTGATTGAAGCATTCTTCGAACAACTTTCCCTTTCGCAAACTTCCCTGTTGAAGAACTCGGCGATAAATTGAGCCCTCCCCCCTTTTTTTTGCTCGCTCGCTATCCAAACACGATCTGAAATCATGAAATTTAATTTTGTGTGAGGTTTGGGTTTTTAAAGGTTCGTGTCTTACAACCTGCTTCGATGGGGGAAATTCTTAGCAATTTTTTATTGTTTTGCGAACATTTCAAATCGTCTTTCTGCAAAAGCAGGGTTTTTGTTGAGGCTGGCAGAAATTAATTCATAGTTTTTTTGTTGTTGAAGACTTGGCTTCATTCGTTTCTTTTTTTTTCTGCGTGGTGAGCAAAGGCTTGGCTTGGAATCCTTGAATTTTTTTTTAGTCGCATGAAATGGAGATCTCTTTAAGATCTCTGCGCAATTCCTCAACTCTTTCGAGTATAAGCTTTTAGATCCAGATTTTTTTTCCACAATTCGATTGTGAAACGTAGTTTTTTTTATTTTTTAACGCGTAGTTCTTTCCTTCGTGTCTTTTAAATTTTCGTAGCAAACGTTTTCGATGCGTTAATCGTTGATTATTTTGAAGTGAAACTCAGATTCACCATTGAAAGTATTATTTTGCACGATCAGTTTTATTTTCGAAAAATTTCGGCTCAAGGCTTTTTTCGGTAAACTTTGAAGAAAGAATATGTTTCGCCTTTTTTTTTGCCTAAGGCAGTGATGATTTTTTTTCTTTCAAGTTTATTGCTTTATCTACAGTTGGAATGCTTTTTATTCCCATTTAATTCGCTATATTTTTCATCTCACGTGTGTTCGTTCAATCAATTATAATTTTGATTTCGAAGCGGTGCCTTTGCTTTACTGATTTCGTGGAATTTACATTTGGTCAAGCTAGCGGAGAAATATGGAGTTGCGTGTATGCTTGACTCGTATTCTCATGCATATGCGCAACACTATAGGGAGCATCCTTATTTGTTTTGTTCCCATGCGACTGAACCGAAGTCGGAATACCATCGTGGGGAGATTGTAAAGTTCCAGGACATTTCGTGCATTTTTTTTCATTCTGTCAGACGTGGCAAGACTTGTTAAATATTTTCTTCATTTGAATCCCTTGCTGAGAAAGTATATTTGTAGTGTTCGCTTTCCTAGAACAGACGCGCTTCTTCCTCATGCGGCTTTTACAGTCAAACCTCTTCTAGTCGAACTTCAAGGGAGCAGAGGGAAAAATTATATCTAGGGAGCTTTTGATTTAAAAAAAAAAGCATTTGTGTTAATAGAAATAAAGTTATATATTTTATGTTTTTTATTTTCATTTTTTTCAATCCTGATATGCTGGAATAGCAAATAAACCCCTGCCTCCGAGTTCAGCAAGGTGTTCCCCAGAATATTCTCATTTATGATTTCCCACATTTTTTTCACTTCTCACAACAAAAGTGTTTGTTTCCTCAACTGGAAACCTCAAAAAATTAAAGCCTCCGTAAGTCAATTTTTTTCATGGTCCCTAGAAATTTGACCTGGCGAGGTTGAACTGTAGAAAGAAATAATTGCAGGAAATTGTAATTGGTGATATTCTAGGCCAGTGTTCCCCAACCTTCTTGGGCCCTCAGACCAGCAAATTTCCATGAAAAAAATTTTGGACCAGGAAATTTCCAAAAATTTTCTGCATACTGCCAAAGTTTCATATAATTTTTGCAGACTCAAAACAGGTTTGATTGAAAGACATTATGGAAGGTCTTCAAAAAGTGTTTTCTTTTTTACAAAAATGATGTTTAGAAACCCATGAAGCCACTATGATGGAATGTCTTTCAAAAAAATTGGAAAGGTGGGCTTGAAGAAACGATTCTCAGAAGCAAAAATGAAAATAATTTATTTCAGCAGGTTAAATTTTTTCTGAAGCGTTATTAGAAGAAAGGCCAACTTTTCTTTGTTCATCAGATAATTTCAACTGCCATTCTCTTTCCAAAATTTCAGATGAAGATAACTGACCTCATTGCTACTTAAAAAAAAAAGTATGCTTCAGAGAATTTCCTGCAGACCTGCAAAAAACTTCTGCTGACTGGTGCTGGTCCACGGACCACAGGTTGGGGAACACTGTCCTAGGCCTCAAATAGATTCTTGAAAGAGTTTAAAGGATGCAAAACTTGAAGGCAGGAGTATTTTGTCTAATTTCTCTTTTGCTCCCTTTCAAAACTCATCAAGTTACAATTTTTATTGCTTTTCTCTTTCCTGGGTTGATGAAATAATAGACTAAATCGCTCCAGAATATTCAAGTTTCGGGAGGTTTGAGGGTGAGGAAAATTTCCAGTTAAGGAAGTTTTTAAATCATTTAATGGGATTCAGACTCTATTATTACCTAAACTCTATTATCCCATCTGCTCAATTTTTCTGTTTGCCCCTTTCGACGTCGTAGTTTTTAATAAATAATGAGATGCCATGTGTGCAGAAAAAAAAAGAACCCAGGAAACCCGTATGCTCATGTACTTTTGGTATGATCACTTTTTGTTTTCTTGCGATGCAGGAGTTCAGGCGAGATAAACTGAACCGACAGAAGGCGAGGCTGAGTTTGGCCAACTGCGTCTACGATGTGCCTTCGCTCCCTAGACGGAAGCAGTTGCTTAGCACGGGCATGAATAATTACAGGTACGCATGTTAGATTCGGTTGCTTTGAAGCATATGATTTTTTGTGTGTGTGTCTTCATGAATTTTAGCGAGTCGATACCGTTAGTAAAATTTCGGAGGATATTTATTTTTATCCGAGGCAACAAATAAACATGAATATTCCCCCGTCATTTGTTTGCAATCCTGATGCATAATTGTTGACTGCTTCTGGTTGCAATAGAGATGAGGTATATACCAAAAATGGAAGTAAGCATGTACGAACTTGACTTGGCTTGAGAGCTCACGCAGAAATCCGTTTTTTACAGGATGAATGTTTATATTTTTTTGGGTTTCATGCAGAATCGGTGCTTGCGGAGTTTGAAAATGTTTGAGTAGTGTTGCCGTGGATTTTTCAAGCAATTAATATCTAGTGAATTATGCCCTATAAATAGAGATGAAATTTTCAATACTCTGACAACTCGTCGGATTGCACTTGGAAGAAGAAATTTTAATCATTTTCGAAAACTTGAGAAAAGATGCTAAATTAATTTCACACATTTTGAAGAATTTACCTGTGCACTGGTAAATTCATTTGATTGAAAAAAATCGAATGGTTGAGCACTGCAAGTTTTTATAAAGTTTATAATTTCCATTGCGAGCTTGAGGATCCAAAGTAAAGTAAATCAGGATGGCCTAAAAAAACGTTTTAAGTTCGCCAAAAAAAAAACAATAAATAATTGTATAATGATACCTGAAAACACATTTTAAATCCAATCCTCTGAATAATAATCTTGACCAAGAACATCCCGAAAACATGAGTAACCATTAACATTTTCATCTTAAGTTTACACGGGATCATTCGTTGATTTCAAGGTTTATATCACATTAAAATCAACTTCATAAAAATTTATAGCTTATAATTTATTGCAAAGCCGCTTTTTAAAATTGCAATCTAATATAAAATATTTTGCTTTCACTGTACAGTAATTTCTATACAGCATCAACATTTATACTGAGGCACTAAATCATCCCTGATTTTTTTTGAACACGCTTATGGCAACAGCCTGTCCTAAAATATATTGTTTGCAATTTCATTTTGCTGTCAAACTCAAATTTCTAGGGATAATGGCTGGAAATTTGTAACGGAATAATAAAGTGCAATATTTGAAATCTTTGCGTGCGTTCGTAAAACCTCGTATCCTTGTATGTGAATGAAGGGGAAAATGTCATTCAGCAACGACCTGACGAAATAACCCAATTACAAAAAGTCTAAAATCCGCTACTTTTTTAGTGATTAGCCGATATATTGAGTCAATCAGAGGAAATTTAAAAATTCACCTGGTCGTATTGAGCATTCATCTGAATGAAACGTAAATTTCATTGTACTGTACTTCCAAAATTCATGAAAAGACACTCATCACCTGTATAGTTCATCTACAAAAGATGAATTTTGATGAACTTGTGCGATTAATTTTTCAAAAATTAGACCTCCGTTGGAGCGGTCGAAATCCGCGCCGAAACTCAAGTCGATCGAAGAAGGCTACGAAGAAAGCGCCTTGGAGGACCTCGTCGAAGAGGACGAAGACAATGAGGAAACCCTGCTGGACGAAGCACCCATCATCAATGGTACCCATCCCAACCCGACGTCGAATCCGGAAATAATCACTGACCAAGACCAGGACGACGAAGAAGACGAAGTCTCCTTTGCCTACAACCCGGACTCGAGTTCGTGTCCTTGCGCCAAGTCCGGCGAGTGCCAGTGTCAACGACAGAAACCCGGCGAGTTGTACGGAACCCTTCCGGGTCAGCTCCTGGGTGTCGAAGCCCCCGACGACTACGAAGAAGAGGAAGAAGAAGAAGAAGCTAGTTCGTCACCGCCGACGTCGTCTCGGTTGTTGCCGAGGAGCTCTTTGCCGAGTCACGTGTTGCCTGGGCCCGTGAGGGTTGACCCGAGTCCCCACGAGCCCAGGTCCTCGTTTTCCTTGGGTTCCCGCGTGTGTCCCGGGGAGAAGCCGCACTGCGAAGCTGGGCTCTGTGATGAGCAGTTTTGCAGCGCGAGGTCGTCGACGCGACTGGCGGAAGACCTGGAACGACTGCGACTGGACGGGGCTCCAGACCTTGTCCTGGAGTCTAACAACAATATCAACAACAATAATAATATCACGAGCAACACGTTTGTAGCGGAGAAGAAGGGATTTGACGAGAAGGAGATTCTGAGGGCTGTCACGATTGCTGGACTCGTCGGGTGCTTCAGGCAGTCAAAGGCCTGACGTTGGAAAAGCGTTTGCAGTTTGAGCAGTAGTTTTTTTTTTTTTTTTGGAGGGCAAGGGGGGTTCATATTATTTTATTTTCCGTTTCTTCCCGGTGTGGCTTTTTTTTGGGGGGGATCCGTGGAAAATCAGTCACCCGGAAATCATCGCAGCTATTTTATTCCTGGCACAATCCGTTTGCGATCTCCCATTTCTTGGACTTGAAATAATGTTGGTCTTGTCGGATGAAATCTGTAGAAAAACCGAATTCAAACCCTTCAGTGGAAGATGAAGAAAAATTTTTTTTTTTAAATCACCTTGGATTTGCTACTGCTGACCTGGAGTTCTTGTCCAGACGTTACCTTTAAATGTAGAGAGAAAAAAAACCTTCCTACTTCGATTACACCGGTTTTTGGAAAACGAAAGGTTTTGATCCCGACTTAGTATTCCTTGAATTATCGGATAACTTAATTGATTATTTTCAAGTTTATAATTTTGAATTACATCTTGCACTAATTTCGTGACATTATCGGTGATAATTTTTTGTCAGTCGTGTCTTTTTGGTTTTTTGTAATTTTCAAGAAGGATTTTTATCATTGCCTTACCAGTGTCCTAATTATGTTTTCCCACCAAGGTTTAAATCTGGGAAAAGGCGGAAACTTCGAAATGAGTGAATGAGTTAAATGCCTCACTTGAATGTTCTGTAAATTTACTGAAAGTTTTGCTGCTGCCAAATGTCAACAATCTTTTTAATGACAATGTCCGTAATCTGACGATTATTTTCAAACGAAAAAAAAATTTTTTTTTGCTAAATTTTTGTTTTGGAAATACTGATGAATTTAAAGGATTCGCTGAAATATTAACTCTTGGACAGAACATGAAATTCCAGGACCGCCATTAAAAAAAATTTCCATCGAATGAACTGAGACCATACCTTGTTATTGATTCCTCAATAACTCGTAGGATTCTGACTGATTAATTTCTGAAGCAAGGAAAAACAGCTTTCGATCCACGCCTCGTTTTGTCTCATTCATGGATTTCCGCTGACAAGACTTCATGTGATCCGTTTGTTGAGTTTAGAATTCTTCTTTGAAACAACATTATACTTTTGATCTTGCTCGGGGGCATATATTTTTTTCACGTTTTGGGTGGCTGATTTTTCATGCGACGAGTCTGGAAAAGGTGCTGAAGTGTGAAAGTGTGAGACGGGAGATTTAGGAAGACATTCGATCATGTTTCGCGAGAAAAAAAAACTAGAATTAAAAAAAAAAACAATTGAGTAATTAGAAAGCAGGGAAACACACGGATGAGCAGTGGTTACCGCTTCTAGTGAAATAGTTATTTTATTTTGGCTTGCTGCAGAGTGGAGTTGCTTCTGGCAATTTCATTAAAAAAAAAAACAATTGAGTAATTAGAAAGCAGGGAAACACACGGATGAGCAGTGGTTACCGCTTCTAGTGAAATAGTTATTTTATTTTGGCTTGCTGCAGAGTGGAGTTGCTTCTGGCAATTTCAGCTGGTGTTGTGCAAATGCGGGATTTGAAATTTTAAAAACAATTTTTTGGAGGGCAATGACGACGGCTGGGGAGGACAGGATTGCTGGTTTGTGATTCAGTGCTGAATTTGGCACTGGTTTCCGCAAGCGGTTCCTGAGGCTATAGGTTCATTATTTTGTGTTTTTTTAATTTATGTATGAGCTGCATGGAGGGAGTGTTTTGATTGATTTGAAACCGCTCTGCAATTTCTTTTCTGTGGTTCAAATGTGTGTGAGAGAAAGAATACACATCTTGCAGCCAATATGTAGATGTCACTTTTTTCAATTCTCTCAAAAGGAACGATTGAAATACTCCGATCCTTGACGAAAAAAAGCTACTCAGAATCCATGAATAGCATTACGTTCACTGAAATTGAATTGAATTGTAACTAATTGTGAGGTTGAAAATTTCAAGCACGAAATTGTTTTTATTTATTTTTAATTTTGAATTCAACGAAAATTCATCGAAAAATCTTCGGGGAAATTGGATTTACGAGTCATTGCGTTCTTCTGCGATGACTTAAAAATTTGAGGAATCTTGAATCAAACTCCGATTTTATAGTCATCATATCTCACCAAAAATTTGAATGTGAAATGGAAAATGAAAAGTTCAAAACAAGGATACATATTTGTTTTTAAACTCATAAAAATAACTCAAACAAAAAGTATGCAGAATCCATCACTAGCTTTCAGTTCATTGAAATTAAATACAGGTATAAATTATTCTTGAACTTGAAAATTAATACATGAAATGGAAATTTTTGTCTTTTTTAAAGTTTACTACAAGAATTAATCGACCGATCGTCCGGAAAATGGATGTAATCTGTTCTCCTTCGATGATTAAACATTCGAGGAATCTGGAAGTATATAAACTCGACTGTATATATACAAATGAACTGAAAGTGAAAATTAAAACAAGGGTATTTTCCTTTTTAGAACTCTGACCAAAAATCAATAAAACAAAAACTTTTCCGGAAGATTTAACGGCTCATTCTCCTACGATGATTAAAAATTCGAGAAATCTTGAATTAAAACTCGATTTTATATTCATATCATCTTATTAAAAAAATTTGAACGTGAACTTGAAAATCGAAAGCTCAAAATGAGGGTATTTCCCTTTTTTCAACTCATGACAAGAATCAACAAACAATCTTCAGGAAAATTAGACGTAAGTCATTTCCGCTGCGAAGATCAATAAAAACTCAGAAATCTTGAATTAAACTCAATTTCAAATCGAGTCTCACCATAAAATTAAACTTGATAACTTGAAAACCAATCGCTTTCGAAAGCACCTCCAGAAAAATTCGTCAGACGATTTTCGGGAAAGCATTCAAAGAACGATGATCGAGAATCAGGGCACTTCTCAGCCTCTCCCAGAAAAGCGCTTCTTTGTGCACATCCCCGCTATTTTCGCTCCACTCCAAATAAATGCGGGTCTTCATCAAATATCTCAACGTGGAAGACAGCGTGTTTTTCGGCAAATGCCCCAATTTGATCAACACCAGACCGTCCCTATTCTCCTCGTGCAAACTCTGTTGCGCCAAATGCGTCTCCCACTTGCACCACTGCGACTTGGCAAAGTTCTCAGAAACTATCAGAACCGTCCGCCGGCTTTTTCTGACGCTCTCCGCGATTTCCTCCGTGATCACCCCACCGACATTGAAATCTCTTTCGTAAACACAAAGCTTGAGGTTGAACGGATCGCTTTCTAGTTTGGAAACGAGTTTGGACACGAATGAAGAGTCTTCGTTGCTGTAGGAAACGAAGGCGTCGTAGGGAAAACTCCGCTGATGATGTTCGTCTTTGGACTGATGGTTTCTGCGTTTGTGTTTCGCCTGGGCTTTGAATGCGTAGTATGACAAGTACCACCGGTACTTGTAGATAATTGCCGCGGTAATTAACGCAGTTCCTGAGACGATTAATGCCGGAATCAGCAGGGATTTCATGGGAAAGTTGACCATCATCGGGTTGAATAAGCAGGTTGAAGTTGCGAGGAATTCTGAGAGCTTCAGTCGGCCTCCGACTTCGTTGACGCACGTAACGGGGTTCAGAAAATCTTCGGATTCTCGGAAAATGTCGAATTGATCCGGATTCGTCGAGTTATTGTTGATGATTGGAGTGACGTTTTGTTGATTCTTTGATTGGAGCCAGGAGAGAAACGGGATCAAATTGCAGGCGCATTCGAGAGGAACGTTTTCCATTTCGAGTTTTTCGAGACGTTTGAAATCTCGGAGCATTGATGGGGTGATTTGATTGATTGATGTGTTTGATACCAGAAGGCTTCGGATCGGTGAGACGGCGAACTTGGGTTCTTCCCACGATTGAATCGGGTTCCCGGTTAAATCCAGTTCTTCGAGATTTCTGAGGTGTTGAAATAATAAATCTTCCGGCATTTTCGAAATCTCGTTCATGGCGAGATTCAGAGTCTTCAGATTCACGAACTGCTTGAAATCGTCGGTGGAAAATAAGTTTAAAGAGGTGTAGTGAAGATCAAGTTCTTGGATATTCACTAAATTTCTGATCGCTGAAGTGAAAACGACTTTTGCCCCGAGGAATGGGTTCGAACCGAGGCTCAGATTCCGCAAATTCGGCACGAATTCAAAAGCTTTTTCGTCCACTTCTTCGAGTTGACAAGATGTCAAATCCAGGGTTTGCAAGTGTCTTGCACCTTCGAACGTTTTGTGAGAAATTTGTGCAAGATTCGTCAGTTTGAAACTCATTGATTCAAGGTTCGAAGCATTTGAAAACGCTCCAGGAAAAATTTCCAGTGTCGATTGACAAGTTGAATTTTGGAGTGACAGTCGCTTCAGGTTTGGTCCGACTGCGTTTTCTTGAAGAAAACAAATTGGATTGCTGTTCATGACTAGCGTTTCGAGATTTGGCAGCTTCTCACGTGCCGATTTCTTCAGTGAAGTCAATCCAACCTTTGAAAACGTGGAAGAAAGCCCCGTCTTTTTTTTTTCTTCAAAAAATTATCAAGTTGACTTCATATCGAAAACTCACCTCAGAGATTTGGACCTCTTTCAAATAAGGCAGTCGATCACGGAAAATTTTTCCCAAGTCGGAAACATTGTTTTTTGATAAGATCAGTCGACGAAATAATTTCGAGCCTGAAAATGAAATTTTGAGCGTAATAATTACACAATATTTTATTCCCAATATAAAAGCTTTCACAAATTTTGAAACACTCACTGCGTGCTTTCAAAATCTCTCCAATATCTTCGTCGAATAAGTTCATAGAAGCCATACTGAAACTTTCCAGTCCGTCATATTTTTCATTGAGTATAGCCCGTAAGTTTTCAGCTTTCAAACCAGGGTTACCATCCAACTGTTTCCGATGAAACCCAAAGAAAAAAAATCAATTTGGGAAAATGGTAATTTTTACAACGTGACGTCGAAAAAATTAACTTACGGTCAATTTAGACAGATTTTTCATCTCTAGGAATCCTTTAGGATGAATGAAAGTCAACTGGCAAAATCCCAAATTCAAATCTTCGATTTTGGAGGCTTTTGTTGGGTGTAAATCATTCTCCTGTAATAATTAAAATGCGAGAAATTTTTAAATTATCCATCTCGATTTTAAATATTTATATCTCACCAAAATAGTTCTCAGTGGATTTTTATGCAAATTGATTGCCTCGAGGCTTTCCAGAATGTTGGAACTCGCGCTGATTGCGACTTCGTGCAAACTTTCCAGGTTGTTGCCACTCAAATCCAAAATCTGCGAATTGTTTCAAATGCGTCACTTTGTGTTGGTCAATGTAACTATAGACGAATACAATATTGGATGTGAATTTTAGCAAGAACTATTTGGAACTTTATTTATTGTGTTTCGAAAATTTCGCTCATTCTGTTCAAGATGTATTTTGGTCTAAAGAAAAATTAAAATCCGAACATAATGTACGGTACTACTCACTCTCAAGTGGTGCAGCCCAACAAAAGCGTTTGCATCCAATCTTCTGAGTTTATTTCCCTCAAGAACTAGGTGTCGCAGCTTGTCTAGTTCATGGAATGCCCCGGGTTCTATCCATGTGATCCTGTTGCGTTCCAAACTCAAGAAAGTCAAATGATTCCAGTTTCTTGGAAAAGCGTATTGCGTGATCACTTTCAAAATCGTTCTCGTGATTTTCAGTCGTCCGAATAGAACTTTGTTTTCTTCGGAAATTGGCAGCGAACTGCAGGCAAATCCCGTGCAAATCGTGGTCAAGTTTTGCGTTTTGCAGCGGCATTCAGCATTCGACTTTGTAGGTCTGGCAATCGTCGTCGTATTTTCTACCGTGTCTGGAATTAAAAATATGCATTGAATTTTATTCAAAGAATAGGCTGTAAGATGGTACATCAGCATTCTCAATTTTTCGCGTCTTTTCAAATTTCAAAATTGCGAATTGACGGAGAAAAAACCCTAAGTACGGCGGGTGCAGAATTTCGAACAATGCAGTACTGCAGTTATAATATGAAGAGTAAATATATGGAGCATAATTAATTTTAATCCACGCGCATTCTTGGATTGACCCATTTTACGATTCAAATAAATCAGCATATTGCCTCCGAATCTATATATATTCAAAGCGCCGTGATTTTCAGAAAACGCTTCGTGATTTTTGTTGTTAAAATATGAATAAAGTGCGTCTAACTTAATATATTTAAAATAAATGCAGTACGTGGAAACGCATGGAATGTTCTTTGTATGCACACGAGTAGACAAAACAATGTAATGCCTTCAGAAATACATCTGCTGAATGATAGGATTCCATTGTTAGGTACTCGAGTTATTGTGTTGATGTACTGTCGAATATTTTCCATCATTATGCGACGACAGCATGCTGAGAATATTTTACATTTGTAACACACACAGAAAGAAATGCAACTTCAGGTAAGAGGTCATGTTTCTTGATCCGGAAAGAAATTGTCGAAGAACAAATACAATTGTAGAGTTCACTTGCTTCGTATGGAATGCCTGAGAATTAGGCTTTATTTGGAGAACTTGCTTCGATGTCCGAATAAGCCTGACGAAAACGGCGAAGTTGAACATTTTCGACAGCTTTTCTTTTCTGTTTGTAAAAATTCGTTTTTCAAACTGATGTCGAGTCATTTGAAAGTGAGACCCCCAAATGCGGACACCTCAACATGTGGACAATGTGACATAGGGACACTTATTTTCCCAAAGAGAAAGTTTTGAAAAAAGGCCCGACATGGGGACACTGACTCGACATAGGGACATTTTGTGATAACATTTCAAATAAGTTTCAGGCCAAATTACAAGAA